GGGTCACTCAGAGAAATGAACTTAAGTGAGTTGTTTTAAATAGTATTCCGAAAGTTACCGTGCTATGAGTAGATTTTTAGTAGATAATTTTTGCACTCATTGCTCGAACTTTGAGTGGAATCCGTCTTAACATTAAAACGTTATAACGCTGTGACTAGACGATCAATGTTGGTTTATTTACGCTCTGCTATGTCGGTTATCACTTGTTAGTATTCGACCAGATAAATTAAGGTAATTAAATGTAAGCACGCGCTAAATCGTCGGTGAAATATGCTCTGTCCTGCTGCTAAACCCGTGAGACGAAATATAAATTTGTGTTTTACGGCCGGGTTTAAAACCATTGATTGTTGCGACCGAGAACTCGTTCAGTCATACATTAATTAAAAACTCGGAGTTCGCGCGAAAAGGAACCTTGGTGAATTTTTTTCCACTGATTTCTTGATGTTATCTTCTTTCGCGGAACAAAGTAAATGTGATTAGTATGAGCTAGTATGGGCGGAACACTTTTTCTATGGGCTGTTTCCTGTTGATCTGCATACGAGCGTTCATTCGATGCAATCTAACTCGTTGATTAATAGAGTTGCAATCAGTAGCTCCCTGGATTTTGATTTTGATTTTCGGTAAGATTTTTTCTGTCTGCGTTGAAATGGCAAGCCAATTCATCGGCTGCTTGAGGTACAAAAAAACTTAACGCAACCAAAGCGAGCTCAGTAATGCCACGACCGGGAAAACAAGCCGATTTGAGTACCGCAACTCGATCATCGGAGTTGATTCTGTTATTTTTCACCGACAATGCTGTAAATTCTTGCCGTAAATTTTCGTCTTGTTTACAGCTACGGTTAAACTTATTTAACATGCTGCCAGCCTTACTGACCTAATAACGACCGAAATGTTTACCCAGTAAAAACAACATTGTGTAATAAGCAAGATGAAATGATAACATTTTGTATTTTTTATGCTTACCTTTTTAATTTTTTTTCTCAGCTCTGGAACAAATTACAATTAGTTTCTCCTTCTTGGTCGAGGTTTCGCTTTCAGCCAGATTTGAATAGAACTAGCCATTAAGTCAAGAGTGAAATCCTCGAGGACTTCTTGAAAATGTTGATCTTGATCTAAGGGGGTTCTCGGAAAGTTAAGAGGCGACTGGGAAAAATTGAAGATTTAAAATTCACTCGGAGAATAGCCAAGCAGCTGGTGGGCGCATTCAGCGAATCAAACACAGGCGCTTGCAGTGCAAGTGAAACAAGACCGCCGTCAACGCAACATAAAAAAGATCTTTCAAGAGCAGCATAGTCAAGCCTATGGCACTTTCCAATAGTTTTCAGCAAATAATTATTCTTCAGCTACAGCAGTTTCCGCTCTTCCGCTATATCTCTGCAACAAACAAGGTTTTTTTGTCTTGTGGAAAGCGAAACCGGTGGTCACAGATCTGGCAAACGAGATCCATCTGACTTTCCCACGGATGATTAAAACAAAATGAAAACTTAATTCGTTTAAAAGCTAAACTAGATCGAAACTATCAACAACTTAAAAAAAATATTACTTTCTGTTCAGTGTAATTTTATAAAACACTTTTTATTCCATTCTCGTGGCCTGTCCGCATTGAGAAATTTGCAACACAATAACGAGCACACGATAAAAATTTGCATTCAAGAGAGCTGACGTCAAGCCGTGAAAAACGTGTTTTTCTTCCTGAAGTTTGCATTGAAATCAAGTTGCTTTTAAATCTCTCGAAGAAAACAATGGTTCTTCCTTGGGCACTTCACCTCAAACGTTAATTTGTGATCAATTATCGATTATTGTTGAGCATGTTCCGGTTTT